TCATACCCTATGCTTCACCCCAAAAGCTTTTTGCCTCCTGCATCGCCATGTCATTAGTAACTGTATCATATCCAACAAGAACAAATTTGTGAGACCATTGTGTAGTTGAACATGCAGGCTCATTATAAAAACCTGGTGAATAAAAATAGAAAGATGATTGTGGAGAGTCAATCTCAATCGCAGTGGGACCCACAGTAGCAATAGCTATTTGTAAGGCCGTTTCATTTTCACTTGGAATACCAACAAAACCCTATGATGAATAGAAAAAAAGAATAAAAAAGTGACATAGATGCAATATTTACTGTATTGTTATATTCGGTTTATAAATCGGAATCAGGTTTTTTAAAATCCTGTGTAGATTTATACCTATTTTAAATTTTCGATGAAAAGTTAAAATAGTTATAAATTACTATTAATAAATCGGTTTATAACTCGATCTGTTTCGGACTGTTCGATGACAATACCGCTAACGCTTACGATAAACAGTTTCATGATAATTTATCATTGAATTTAAATTCTGAAACGAATGAAAAAGATCCGAGTTGTTCTGGTGAATTATTAGATCGAAAGGTCGACGATAATGGAACAGATGAGCAACAACAACAATCTGCATCGTCCTTATTGCCAACACAACCTACACTCTCTGACACAGCGGTATTGTCATCGAACAGTCCGAAACAGATCGAGTTATAAACCGATTTATTAATAGTAATTTATAACTATTTTAACTTTTCATCGAAAATTTAAAATAGGTATGAATCTAGACAGGATTTTAAAAAACCTGATTCCGATTTATCAACCTGCAACTGATTTATAAATGTCGTACCGGTTTATAAACCTCGCACCAGTTGATAACTATTTTAAGTTTTTGCCAATTTTGACCAACTTTTAACGTTTGCGAACTCTTTAGTGTGTACTGTACATGCTTCGATCTTTCTAAACTACTGTATATTTCGAAAGTCTTTTCGAAGTTTGGAAATCTATTTTATTTCTATAAACATTATTAAAAATATGTCCGAGGCCTTGAGATATTGAAATATGCATTAGTTTTACTAAGATTAAAGCACAAAAATAGTAGAAGTACCGTTGTTGTTTGTGAATAATTTTGTGATTGTACTTCTTTTAATAAAGTACTAATTATTTCTTCAGCATTCTGATCAGTTTGACCATGAAAATTAATGTAATCAACTGCATTTGTTGGCTGACGTACGAAATAATTCAGATCTCCAATCCGAACTGAACTAACACTGAATTAGAAAAGGAACTAATTAGAAGAAAAATTTATTTAAATTATAAACATACCGTTGAGCAGTCTGTTTTAAAACGTCATTAACTCTTTTAAATCGAGTCGCTTCTGCCAATGTCTTATAATATGCTGTAATCTGTCCATAATCTGTTGTCAATATTTGTTCTATAATTTCTCTTGCTCGCATATAACCTAGATCATATAAACCCGTAATAATTTCTGTTTCGAGAGGTGAAACTTTTCTATAGGTACGTTTTGTTTTTGATATACTTCTCATAGGCATCATTTAGTGAATATTCAGAAATGATAAATGTATCTGGACGTCAGATGACATATATGACTATTGTAATGATGTTTAAACAAATATTTTTAAATATTAGACATTTGAGATATATATTAGACGTCAGATATGCGTTTTTGTTACACAAACGTCTGTCTTTTAACTACTTTAGTTTTTGTAAATCGAATATAGAATTCTATATTCGATTTACAAATACTTATTTCCAACTGCTCTACCAACAAATTTCATAGTTTAGTTTTGTTGAAAATTACAGAAAAACAAAAGTGTCTGGCAAAAGTGCCAATCAATCTCCATTCAGGTATATTATGTACTGCTAAGTATTTCTGTCCGTTCGAATACTCAACATAACATGGATCCTTCTCAACCTCTTGTGCGTCGAAATCGATATACAGTTCGTCAAGGGTTGCAAATGTCCAGTTTTTTTACGAATACTATTTCCATTAATCGGTGTTTTATACGAAAATCAATTACAACAACAAAAAAATCCAAACACTTTGTGAACAT